ATGGGTATTGTAATGAATTATCTAAGTTATGTATTCATAATCCAATTAGTCCTATACGATGGGCATTATATCAAGGAATTTCATTAAAATATAATCATAGTTTATTCCCTTCTGTTGCTGTAATCAAAATATTCCAATTTTTAAAAGAATTTAATTGTTCTTTCTTTGAGCCATTACCTTCAATTCTTATAGAACAATTACAAAATAAAATATTATTAACAGAAACAATAAAAACAATATCTCTATTTAAAATTATCGGAACACCACTAGCATTATATCATTGTTTCCTTCAACTTGGAACTTTTTCACAAATTTATTTTGATTGTATTACAGATATATTGGACATTCTTAATAAAACATTATCATCTTTATCTCAATACCCAGACCATCCATTATATTCTTCTTTATTCCAACTTGTTAAAAATTATAAAAGCTCTTTTACTGAAGATAATTATAATAAATTACAACAATCAAAAGGAACTATTGATTCTGCAATAGAATGGTTATTTAATTCTTGTGATATTCCTAAACCAGAAAATATTATTCTTCCTTTAAAAACATCTCCCTTAATTCGTAAGAAAGAACCTTCTAAAGTTATTGAACTTTGTGATTCTACAGATGTTATTGCTGCTATTTCATGGAGACGTATCGTAAAAAAATATACTACGCATAATGCCATTTTTGAATATCCTTTCCATGCTCCTTATGTGTTTTTTAAATTAGATGCAACTTTATGTAATGGGAATTCACAAATGATTATTTCTCAAACTATACCTAAAGTGTCTACTCTTCCTGTTGAAACTGAACCACAAACTGCATTATATAAAAGATATGAAAGTCTAATGGAACGAGTGAAGTTTCGTATGTTTGATGAAATTTCTGTTGATTTTGAAGCAAATTATGTTAAATGGGATAGAGAATTACCAGCAATAATTCATTTTGAGAATAATGCTGTTATTATCAGATATCATAATGGAGGAGAGAAAAATATGTTATCAAGAGAATGTAAACAAATTAATATTTCATTTGAAGACATCACTAGTGTTCAAAGACTTAATGTGTTGTATGAAGACATTGGAGTTGAAATTTATTACTTTAATTCCTTACTCTCTATTGTTTTACTCTTTAAAACAACAACTGAAAGAAATAATTTTATTTCTAAACTTCCAATTACTCCAAATGAATTACAAAGATTTAATGAAGCACAACGTAAATGGGTTAAAGGAGAATTATCAAATTATGAATTTTTATATGAAGTGAATAGATATGCAAATCGAAGTTTTAAATTATTAAGTCAGTACCCAATTTATCCATGGGTTATTTCTACTTTTAGTGAAGATTTTAGATTAAATGATTTAAGGTCTTATCGAGATTTGACATTACCTATATCTGCTTGTAATGAAAAAGCAAAAAAAATGATTGAATCTAATTATCAAGAGAAAGAGTGTCATTTTAATTGTTATTTAAGTAGTCCTAGTTTAGTTTGCAGAAGTTTAGTAAGACTCCAACCTTATTCAGAGTTATTATGGAAAGAAATGTCAGAAAGATGTTTTGAAGTTGGAGGAAGAATTTTTAAAAGTATTGAAGGGTTTTTTAAAAGTAGTGTAGAACAATCAAGAAGTGAATTAATTCCACAATACTACACTACGCCAGCATTCTTAACTAATTTAAATAATTATTTAACTTCTCTAAATGGAGAACCACTTGGAGATGTTACTTTACCTAATTGGGCATTTAAACACAATCTTTTAGATAGTGGAAATCTTAAAGATAGAGGGGAAATGACTTCTCCAAGAGAGTTTATTAGAAAAATGAAAATGGCATTAGAAAGTAGTAATGTTAGTAAATATTTAAATACTTGGATTGATCTTATATTTGGTTGTTTACAACAAAGTGTAAACCATTATAATGTTTATTTAAATGATTATACCATTAATTCAACTCAGCCAGACTCATTAAAACAAACTATATGGAAAACTATGGGTCATTTACCTCTATGTATTATGACAAAAGAATGTCCTGAAAAAACAGATAATGGAACGAGATTTTCATGTAATTTAGGATTGAATTGTGCTGCTCGTCGACCAAAAAAAGTTGGTTCAGTTAAAGAAGATTGGTGTTCATTAGTTGATAGTAAAAATGGATATACTCCTATTACAATTAAAGGAACTATTGGAATTGGTGAAAATGCAGTATATTATGATGAGGTATTACATCAAATTATATTACTAAAACCAAGTGAAATTTTTGTTGCAGCAGCTATTGGAATACAGTGTGTTAATGGAGATGATGATTGGATTGTTGCTGGTGGAGATAATGTATTAGCTTTCCATCATAATCATAGTTATAGCTTTAATGGAATATCTAATATATCATCATTATCAATTAAAATTAAATATGATTCTATTATTGCAGGTAATGAAAATGGTATGGTTATTGTTTGGTCAATTACTAAACAAAGAATCAGATGGAAAAAACAATTTGAATTACCTGTCCAACACGTATTAATTACAAATAATGGTGATATTTTCATATTAACATATGACCATTTTGAAAACACAACAACAATTATTGGTTGTGACATTAATGGTATAATTTTTGGTGAATCTTCATTTAATGCCCGAGTGACTGCAATAACATGTTCTCAATCTGTTAATTCAACCTCTCCTACACTAGCTGTTGGAACAAGTGTTGGAGAAGTATTATTATATGATGCATTTACTCTTGCTTTATTATTCTCTTATTCTGCAGATAGAAAAACAAAGAGTGTTACTTCATTCTTGTATACCAACAAAGATTGTAAATTATATTATAGTACTCAAAGAGAAGAAGGTGGATGTTTCATTTATTCTTTATGAAAGAATTTAAATTAAAAGAAACTGTTTTTTTAATATTAGAAATTATTTTTATTTAAAAATTTTTGTTTAAAAGAATAAAAATTAATTACATCATTTGAATAACTATTACTCTATTGACTGAGAAATCTTCAAAACTTTCTGTATTACTCAAACTTGATGGTGCACCTAAATAAGCTATTTGGAGGTTCTTACAGTATGAATTTGATACACCAGTTTGATGAATTATAAAACAACCTGTATGACCAACTTGATATAAATAACTTTCATTTCTATATATAAAAAGAGCATTAGAACTATTATCTCCAATTGGATTCCATTTCATTGGTTTAAATATTGATTTCTTTAATGAGAAAATAAAATGATTAGGATCAGAAATAAATTTGTTAGTTTCAAGAATAGGAACAGACACAAATGCTCCAAACACATAACCAAATTCATCAAAATTAATAAAATATAAATTGCGTTTATTCATAACTCTATCATTAAACTGTTTTTGTGAATCAAGAGAAGAATCAAATAGAATTTGATACTCATTCAAATTAGACCAATTCTGTAAATAAATATAATATTCTTCAATAATTCTAACTTCTTTATCCATTTTAAGTTTACATGGAATAATATCAATTCTATTAGGAATTATAAACTTCATATTGGTAAGTTCAGTTCTTCTTAATTGAAATTCTTCTTTTCTTTTACTAATAATTTCTTGATACTTTGATTCAATTTCTTTAATATCTTTTTTATATTTCATCTCTTCTATAAAAATTAATTTTCTGATAATGTCATTGGTTATTTCTTTCATTGTTATTTCTTCATCTTCTTGTTGTTGATTTATTTGACTTATTTTATTTAAGTCTTCTTTTAATTTTTGAAGAACTGCACTTCTATTATTTATTTTTCCTTCTATTATTTGTATTTTCCATTTTAGTTTATTGACTATTTTTTCTATCGTATCAGTTAAATCATTTTCATGATTGCTTAATTTCTGTTGCTCTAATTGTTCAATACCTCTACATTCTTGTTCAATTTGTTTTAATAATTGTTCTGCTTCTTCTTTTCTTTGAAAAATTTCATCCCACCATCTATTTTCCATACTATTTGATTGTGACATTGAGATGATCCTCATGATAAGACAAATAAATACAACAATTATTTTATTTTGATAACTTCTTCATCACTTTACTCAAAAAGTATCATTTTTATAGTCAGAGTAAGTGAATTATTTCCTGCTTTAAATCAATCAAAGTCTCAAATACAAAAACTATTTTTTAATACAAAAACGATAACATAAATCTGAAAAAAAAAACAAAAAATCTACTTTCATCTGAGTTTATTCGTTTGACCCATCTAAAGATAACAATCTTTATATTATGTTCACAACCCAATGGGACAAACTAAGAACTATTCATAAAAAAAAATGTTAAATAAATACGTTTTAATTCAACAAATACTTTCTTTTATTAAAAATTAAAGGCTTTACTATCTAATAACTTCTCGTTTGGAAAAATATGTGTTAGCTAAATAACGAAACTGTGTTGGTTCAGTAGAAATTTCACAGAGTAAATAATTCTATGCTAAACATAAAAATGATAAAAAAAAAATAATTATTATGACGAATATAATTCAAATAAGATAAAAATTAAAAACTTGATAATGAAGTGTTAATAAAATTGTCATTGACTCATTGATTAATGGATATTAATTAAACTAAATGTTTTATTTATTATTTCGATTTTCTTCTTGTTTTTGTGAATAAAACATTCTTCTTTTGTTTTATTGTCTTTTCAAGTTTCTTTATGTTTTATTTCTTCTTTTTATCTTCTTATTTGATTTTTATTCTCATTTAAATATCATTTCTTTATTCTTATTTTATGAATGAATATTTCATTATCATTATATCATTATATTATTCTATATAATTTGATTTATTATTAACATTATTTATATCATTTTCTTTTGTTCTATTTCTTTCATAATATCTTACTTCATTCTTTGTATTATTATTTCTTATTCAAATAAATCATCATCAGATAATACCAAAAAAAACTAAAATGTTAGATTATATTCATTTTAATGTTTATGTGATGTTTCTGATATTCAATCTTCAAGAAAGTGAACAAAAAGAAAAGAATAAAAAATTATTTTGATTAAAAAAGATATTGATATTAATGAATTCCATTTAGAATAGCAATACCTGCTGATGCACCAATTCTACTAGCACCATTATTAATCATTTTCATTGCATCATCAAATGTTCTAATTCCTCCAGCAGCTTTAACAAGTGCTTTATCACCAACAGTATCTTTCATTAATTTAACATCTTCAGGAGTAGCTCCATGAGTACCAAATCCAGTGGAAGTTTTAACATATTCAGCTCCAGCAGCAACACATCTCTTACAAACTTCAACTTTTTCCTCATTTGTTAAATAACAACATTCAATAATAACTTTAGTAAGTGCTTTTCCAGAAGCATCAACAACAGCTTTAACATCCTTTTCTACATCATCATATTTCTTTGCTTTAACCATTCCAATGTTAATAACCATATCAACTTCTTCAGCTCCTTGTTCAACTGCAACTTTAGTTTCATAAGCTTTGACTTCTGATGGAGTAGCTCCTAATGGGAATCCAATAACAGTACATACTTTAACACCAGTACCTTTAAGAAGTTCTGCACATAATGGAACCCATGTTGGATTAACACAAACAGAAGCAAATTTATATTCAGCAGCTTCAGAACATAATTTTCTAATTTGTTCTTCAGTAGCATCAGCTTTAAGAAGAGTATGGTCAATGTATTTTGCTAAAGTGGCTTTATCCATTAGAAGAATTAGATTAAAAGAAAAAGATTAAGAAGATCTAATAGAGTGTAGAATAAAGAAGTAATTATTCTATGAACTTCTTTATTATTCTTTATGTTCTTTTTATTAAAAAGAAAAATAAAAAGAATGTTGTAATATATAACAAAATTAAAAAAAATAATTCATCAATTTTAATATTGTAATATTTGTAATGGGGAATGTTTTAATAAATCAGATGATGCACAAATAAATCTTTTTTGATTTAATAAAAGGTTTATAGAAGGATAAACTTTTTGAATATCCTCAAATGTGTGATAATTTTCATTTAAATAAAAACGACCAAAAGTATGAATATGACCAAATAAACAAATATCAACTTTTGATTGAAGAATCATTTCAAAGATTGGATTTATATCTGCCTTTTCGTTATAAGGAGGATGATGAATCATTAATATTTTTATTTTATCTTCTTCTATTTCATTCATGTTATTTAATATAAAATTAAGTCTTTCTTTCATTACTTGACAACAAGTTTTATCAATTGATACTTTTAATGTTTCTTCTTTTAATTGTTTATTAATAATGGGCCAACAATTATATTCATTATCACACATTCTTGTTCCCATAACAACAATTTTATCATCAATATAACTTTTATGTTGATCAACAAATTTGATAGTTTTAAATTCTTCTTCATATTTTCTTTTTGCTGTTTCTTTACTTGGCCACCATTTATCATGATTTCCACACCCAAGAATTTTAATCCCTGGACGTTCATTAATCCAAGTTAAATCTAATTTAGGATACTTTTTACTTGCTGAAATATCACCAGGAATAATAACAATATCATTAGAACTTACTGAATTATTCCAATTTTCTTCTAGTCTACTTATATGGTTTTTCCATTCTAATCCATACTGTGACATATCGTATGTTTTTTTTTTAAATTCATTCATTACTGACGTCTCTGTCATTTTACGTCCAACAAATTTAGGTTTCACTTCTTCTATTAAATCTAAATTTAAATGTGGATCACTTAATACAAACACTCTTCTCATTATTTTTGTTTTTTTTCTTTAATTTGTAGTTTCTTTGCTTTTTTTTCTTCTTCTTTTATTCTTTCTTTTATTCATTTTTTAAAATCTTTTTGAATTTATAAAAAAGTAGTTTTTTATTGTTTATAACAAATAATAACTCTACCAATCCAAATTTAAATTAAAAAACATTAACAAAATATTAATTGACCTTTATAATTTTTGAAGGATTTATAAACAAAAATGAATGTATTTTATATAAAATACTTTATTCAAATAAGTGGAGGAAGGTATTGATAATAACAAAAAAAAATTAAGTTATGTTTTATGTAAATTGAATTATTCATAACTATTAATTAACTTCTTTTGTATGGTGAGGAATTTTTGAATGAAAAAAAATATGAAACAAATATGACGTGGATCCACCAATTGAAACGTAATTCAAGAAATTGAAATAACCCGAAATTTGTAGTAAAAAAAGGTTCAAAAAGAAGAAAAGAAAAAAGATAAAGAAGAAGATTTTTTGTAGATAAAGAAAAGACAAAAAAAGAAAAATGGTAAAAGAGAGAGAAGGACAAAAGCAAGAAAAAAGGAAATAAAAAAAAAAAAGGATATGCTTCAAAAAGATAAGAATTAAATAAAATAAAATTAATTATTAAAATTAATGAAAACAGCAAACTTATAAAGGGTTAAAGAAACTTAAAAATTTCAAATACCCTTTAATTAAACAAGATGACTACATTATATGTTTCACATTTGGATTACTCCCTTAAAGTTGAAGATGTCCAAAACGCTTTTAAAACTTATAATCCAAAAGAAGTAAAAATTATTTCAACTCCAATTGGATATTCAAGAGGATTTGCTTTTATTGAATTTGCTACTCCACAAGAAGCTGAAAAAGCACTTGAAATGGATAGACATACAATTGGAAAGATGGAGATTAAAGTCCAAAAAGCACTTCCAAAAGAAGAAACTACAACAGAAAGAAAAATGAATAGACGTGGTTTTAAAGGAAAAAGAAATACCCGTAAAAGACATTTAGTAAAAAGAACAAATGAAGTAACTGATAATATGTTATTCATTAAGAATTTACCATTTGCTATTACTGAAGAAAAACTTAAAGAAATGTTTTCTAAATTTGGAGTTGTTGAAATTACACTTATTAAGACTCATAGAAAGAAAGGAAATGTTACCAAAAATAATGGTATTGCTTTTATTACTGTTAAAACTGCTGAAGAACAAAAGAAAGCTATTGCTGAAATGAATAACTTTGAAGTAGAAGGTAGAAAAATTACAGTTGCTGCTGCTTATAAGAAAGTTGAAAACAAACAAACTACTAAGAAAACAAATGAACCAAAATCACTTTCTGAAACTAATGTCTTTGTTAAGAATTTACCATTTACTTTAACTGATGAAGGTTTCAAAAAACTTTTTGAAAAGTATGATGTTGTTGAAGCTACTATTGTAAAGAGACATAATAAAAAGTTAAATGTTGACAGAAGTAAAGGATATGGTTTTGTTACATTCAAAACTGCTGAACAACAAAAGAAAGCTATTGCTGAAATGGATAACTTTGAAGTAGAAGGTAGAAAAATTACAGTTACTTCAGCTTATCAAAGAGCTGAGAAGAAAGAAGAAACTACTTCCAATTAAAAATGGTTATACTATCTCTAAATGAGTGAGTAAGTTTTTGTTTTCAATCTTCTTATCGTTTTATTTTTGTTATTTATTTCTATTTTTATTTATTATAATTTTATAATTTTTTATTAGTAATTTTATTATATTGTAACTTTTTTAACAAAAAGAGAAAAATAATAACCCTCAACTATAAAAGAACTATAAGAACTTAAATAAAAAAATAGTTTGAACATAATAAAAATATAATAAAACTATAATAAAAAAAAAATAAAAAGATGTAAAATCAAAAAGAGAAAAAAGCAGAAGAATACAGCAGAATCAAGGAACTAGGTTTTTATTATAAACAAACTATTTGTGATGAATTATGCTAATGAATTTTTTCCTAATGGAGTCTATGAACAAGAACCAATGAATACTATTCCTGTACAAACTATAGATCAAGACATAAAAGAACGTAAACGTAAATCTGCAATGTATACTGAAGATATTGAAGAATTAAGTCATGCAGTTTATATTTATTGGAGAGCAAAAGAAATGGTTAAAACTAAAGAATATGAAGTTGATGAAGCAAACGAAAAAGCAGAACAAATGTGGGCTGAAGAAACTGAAGAAGTAAGAGAAACATTTAGGAGAGCTGCAGTTGTTCAAGACATTATGTTAGGAAATGCTATGGGGAAAAAAAGGAGACAAGGAAAAAGTGAATATGCTCAAAATAGAGCAGAATATAATCCATTTTTATTATTTTGTAGAGACCATCGTGAGAATGTTAGAGAAAAAGGTAGCAGAGGAAAAGGAATGTCAACTTTATCTTCTATGTGGAAACAACTCCCTGAAGAAGATAAAGAACGTTACCAAGAACTCGCAAAACAAAATAAAGCAAAAGATATAAAAACAAATGATCAACCAGCTCAAGATCAACCTTCTTCAATTCCAACAGATACTCAACAGTCATCTCTCCAGCAATAATTGAGTTGTAATTTTCAATTAAAAAAAAGTATTTTTTTTTTAATTTTATAAAATAATTTTATTTAAACAACTTTCTTCTTTTCCAAACAAAAGAAATCAAATTCATTTATCTTGCGGTTTAGGGAATATACTAGGTGATGAGTAATTAATAAATGGTGATGAAATACCTTGGAACGCAGGTGTTGAACCTAAGAATGGTGATGGATTAGGGTTATTATAAGGTGAAGATTGTTTACCAGCAAACATTGGTGATGATAAAAATGCAGGTTTAGATAATGCACCAGTAGCTGGATTATATGGTGAAGGACCTGAACTAAACCGAGGGGTAAATTGCATTAACATAGGTGAAGATCTTGGAGAAGAAGAGGTTATAAATGGTGATGGAGTAGCAAATTGTGGATGTGTTTTTCTTGGAGAAACTGGGGAAGGAGAGAATCCCATTGGCTTTGGTTTATTAGTATTTGTTGGAGACATAACCAAATGAGTTCTAATTGGAGACACATCAAATCCATCAATAAATGCTTTTTTATCAGCTTCTTCTTCACTAAATGAGTTTTCATCAATATTTGATGCTTTTAATGAATCTATATCAAGTAATACAGTAAATGCACCAGTTCCTGCAACAGTCCTTTGTCCCATTAAAATATTTTGAGAAATACCATTTAAAATATCTGATTCACTAAATGCAGCTGCTCTTCTAAATTGTTCTAATGTTTGTTCAAATGAAGCTCTAGTAATAACTCCTGCTCTTCCACGTGATAAACCCATTCTATTAAAAGGTTGAATTCTACCAGTAAATGTCATAACATCAGCCATAAGAGCTAAATGTCTAAAATTAACATATGACCCAGATAATGTTTTAATAAGTTCTGCTTCAAGTTGAGTTCTACCTGCTTCAATACCTAAATAAAGGAAAGTTTCATAAACATTATTTGTAACAGTTTTATAAAAATCAACATTATCACATTCAGCTAAACCTGCCATATTAGATCCTTCAGTAAATACTACCCATTGTAATTGATCTCTTAACATTTTTGTTTCTGGATCAACTACAATTGCATTTTTTGGTTTTTGAGGAATAATAACTTTTGTAATTCCTTCAATTCCAGAAATAACAACAGTTCTTAATAATTCATCTAATTTGGATTTATAATATGCTACTGCTTCAACACTTTTATCAACTTCATCAGTTAAATGATCTATATTAGAACATTCAGATATACTTCCAACTCTAAATCTAATATGAACAACAATTTTAACAGTACCATTTACAATATTATTTGAGTCTGATGGAATAACTAATGCATCTTTAAATAATTCTTTTATTTTTACCCTTAAAATATCGGAATCAGAATCAACTCCCATAGAAACCATTTTATTATATCCAAATACTAATCTTATTGTCCATTTACAATAATCTTCTGGTTTAATTTCTTCAACTTCAATAAAATCATTAATAAATTCTCTGTCTTCTTCAATAACTGAATTGGCAATATCAGGATCAAACCAAATTTCCACATTATCTATAAGATCTTTTAATTTGGTGTAAGGAATAGTTTTATTTAATTCTTTATCTAAATCAACCATTGACTCTCTTGTATCATTTGTTAAATAAACATTCATACTTGGTGTCTTTGGTGTTTTAGATACATTTAATAATTCTTTTAAACGTGGGACTCCTTCAGTTACACTAGCAGATGAAATACCTGCATGATGGAATGTATTTAAAGTCATTTGAGTTGCTGGTGCACCAATAGATTGAGCAGCAATACTTCCAACCATTTCTCCAGGATTGATAAATGAACGTTCATAAATATTTTTAATTCTATCCATTAAATCATCAAATGATTCTTTAGATAAATGATGTTGAATTAAACATTGTTTACTACTTAATGTACAGTGTAATAATTTACCAAATGATCCAAGTGCATCTTTAAATCTTTCTTCATCAAATTTATCATTTTTAACAGCTCCAATTGAAGATAATTCTTTAATTAATGCATTTTCTCTTTCAATAACATATTTTGGATCTAAATTACTTCTTTGACTCTTTGGTAAATATCTTGCTGCAATAACATTATCAATTTGTCTTGCAAAATTAACAACAATATGAATATCACATGGTTTTAAATCAAGACTTCTTCTCCATGGTTGATATAATTCTGCTCTTTCATCTAATATTCTTTGGAATTCATTATCAAATAATGTTTGATATTCATCACTAAATAATTTATTATAAATATCTTCGTCTAATAGTTCACTTAATTTTTCATCATTTAAATCCCATTTATAAAGTTCATTCATTTTAAAAGTATCATAATCATTAATACTTCCTTCAAAATTATCAGGTTTTGAATCATTACAATAAATGTATTTTTGTGTTTCACACATTAATGCATCTACTCCATCTCCTCCATACATAAATTCTACCATATCTCCACTAGACCTTCTAACTGTACGATCATATTTACATTGTACATCTTCCATACATTTAACCATTTTTCTTTGAATATATCCAGTATCTGATGTTTTAACAGCAGTATCAATAATACCTTGTCTTCCTGCCATAGCATGAAAGAAAAATTCTTGTGGAGATAATCCCATCACATAACTATTTTCTACAAACCCTCTAGAAACAAATCCATAATCTTCTTTCCAATAATGTGGTAAGGTTCTTTTATAAAATCCAAATGGAATTCTTAAATTATTAATTTCTTGTTTTCCAACAAAAGCTACCATTTGAAGAATATTAGTTGTACTTCCTTTACTTCCTGAATCTACCATAGCAAGTAAATTATTATCTTTTTTTAATGATTTTGTAGTAATAGAATCACATTCATTTTTTAGTTTTTCTAACAAACTACCTAATTCACTTTCAAGATTTTCAAACATAGTATTTCCTGCTTGTACTTTAATTTCATCATCATGTTGATGGCTAAGAAATTTTACTGCTTCTTTTTTACTTTTTTCTACGTTTGCTCTAATAGAATCATGAACAGATTGTGGTACAACAATATCTCCTACTCCAACTGTAAATCCTCTTGTTAATATCCAACTATTAACAGTGGCTTGTGTTTTATTAAAGAATACTTTAGTTGCTTCCATTCCTTTATCTTTAAAAATAGTTTGGATAATACCTGATCTATTCTTTCCAAATTCTGATTTATTTCTTAATGATCCAACTAAATGAACACCATCTAATATATATACATCAGAATCAGCTACTGCTGGTCCATTTTTTAATAATTCTTTAATTGACCAATTACCTCTATGAAAATTAATAGTAGGAAGAATTTGAGTAAATACTTGTTTTCCAGTCCATTTAGGAATTGGTTTTAATATTGCAGGAATTGGAACTGTTCCATCAAAGTTATCTAAACATTGTAAAATATTATAAAATACTAATTGTTCAATAAACGTTTCTCTTTTTGTAATTAAATAACTTCCACATTGTGTGTCTTGTACAATACCCATAATTGGTCCATTATCTTGTGGTGTAATAATTTGTGTTGGTGTTAACATTAATGTAGCAACTTCAGCTCTTGCTTCAAGTGTTTGTGGTACATGCAAATTCATTTCATCACCATCAAAATCTGCATTATAAGGTGTAGTATCACATAAATTCATTCTAAATGTAGAAAATGGTAAAACTCTAACTTTATGACCCATCATACTCATTCTATGTAATGAAGGTTGTCTATTAAAAATAACATAATCTCCATTCATAATATATCTATGCACAGTATCTCCAATATCAATAATTTTTTCTGATCCATTTAATCTATATGTTTGACCATTCTTTCTTTCTAACATAAATGCTCCTGGATAATCATTCATTCCAGCACTAACTAATTTCTGTAATTTTTCTTTATTATGTTGAGTAACTACTTCTGGAAATGTTAAAATTTTAGCAACTCCTGTTGGTACTCCAACTTCATCCATTGATAAATTTGGATCTGGTGAAATAACTGTTCTGGCAGAAAAATCAACTCTTTTTCCCATTAGATTTAATCTTAATCTACCTTGTTTACTTGAAAGTCTTTCTTCAATTGATTTAAAATTTTTCTTTCTCAACATGGTTTCTGGAAGTTTAACATTTTTCATTGATATTTTTGCACAAATAGTTTGTAATTCCATTAATTTATTATAATATTCTGATACTCCTTCACATTTTTGATTTTCTTCTTTTAGTCTTTCATTAGCAGTTATTACATTTTCATATAATACAGTTAAATCATCTTTAGATTCTTTTGCTCCTTCTGATACAATAGATGGTCTAACACATGGTGGTGGTACTGGAATTAATGTAAAAATCATAAATTTAGGATGACAATCAATTGGATCAAATCCAAGTACTCTAACATCTTCATCAGTCATATCTTTAAATATTGCAAGTGCATCTCTTGGTTTAAAATCATTTTCTTCATTAGTTTTTATTCCATTTTTTCTTCTAATTTCTAATTTATTTTCTGATTTTAATTTAGGAAGTTCATAATCTACAATTGGTCCATTACATGGATTTTGTTCTTCTTCTTCTTCATTATTTTGGTGTTTATCATGATCTTTTTTCTTCTCAGATAAAACTCCACAAGCTTTATAATTTTTATGAATAAACTCATAAATTTCTTTTAATCGTTCTTCCCCAGTACTTTTAATATTTTTAACTCTTTCATCTCCATGACAATATATTCGTTTACAAATTGGACAAACACACTTTAATACATGTAAAATATATTTCATATATATAGCATTATAAACTGGTTGTGTTAATTCTATATATCCAAAATGACCAGGACATTCTGTCCTTGTTCCTCTACATGTTTGACATTCTTCTCCTTTTTCAAATGGTCCCATACGAGGATCGGCAAGTCCACCTAAAACTGGTTTACCATCGCTACTAACTGAAGTACTTTCAGTAATCTTACAAACACCCATTTTTCTGATTTGTTCAGAAGAAAGTAAAGTAAATTTTATTTGTTTGACTCGTTTCGTTTCCATGTTGAGTTCAGTCATTGTAACTTGATAATAATTTTTTTAGATACATTTCCCTATTATTTTTCTTTTTTCCTCATAATACTTTCTTCTATTATTCTTTTTCTCTTTTTCTCATTTTTTTTAGTTTTTTTTTTATTTCTTTTCTTGTCATTTTATTCTTTTTGGATTTCACGTCATCTTTTTTAAATGAATCTTTTTTTCTTATTGATATTTAATGAAATACTATTTTAAGGGTTTTTTTCTCTTTAATTAATAAAAAGGGTTTTTATTAAAAAAGAGAAAAAAATAAATGAAATAATTTTTATTCTTTCTTCTTTATTACTAAAAAAATTACTTATTAAGAGTATTTAAAAATTTCAGTCTTATTCGTGATTAGAGTAATTAATAAGATTCAATCTTATTAAAAAGTCACTTCCATTTAAGCTAAAATTTTATTAAGAAAGAAATTCACGCATTCTATTATGTTTGCCGAAAGAAATTATTCAAAGATTATTGAGTTATTAAAACCTAGTCATTACCATTCTCAAAAGAAAAAAGAATGTAGTAAAAATAACAATTTAGTATATTCAATCCTTAAAGAATTAAGATGTTATTGGGTTCCATTTCATCCTATTAACAAGAAAATTGTAGGAGAGACAAACTTAAATAAACGACTGAATGCTGTATTAAAAATACTTCAATCTCTTGAAGTAATTGAAATGAAAAATGGATATGTCAGACTAAAACCCTATTCTAGTGCTATTGCTTTTAATGTTGCTTCGCTTAATGAAATTCAATTCGAGCTAATGAAAGAAAATCAAATCTTAGAAACTCAAATCACAGACATTCTTCATCAATACAGTTATACTCATAAACTATTTCCTAATATTCAAATTAGTTTTGAACAATCTGCACTTGAACTCTTCCTTCAAGACATATCTCCATTAAATTATAACCCTCAATTAGTAAATTGGTTATTTCTTTGGAAACACTCACTTCCATTGCCTTTATCAAATTCTTCTTCTTCAACATTTGATCCATTACAACCACCTTCTCTTAAATGTACTGTAAATAATTAAAAAAACCAACAATATTGAAAAAATTCATTTAATTTAGATTTAATTATTTTTTGGAACAGCATCTCCATATGAGGCATAACATTCACGAGGAACTTGTGTGTTTTGAAGTTGTAATAATCCTCCTTCTTTTAAGAAATTACCATGGTTAATAGTTAATTTCTTTAATTCTTTTGGAAGAATAACTGAAATCTTTTCTTTTGTAGTTACAAAATTGAAAATTATTTCTTCTAGTTGATGTTCTTCATGAAGATTTATAATACTACTTTCTTCATTTTCTATATCTCCACGAACATCAATCATTGATGGATGATATAACTTCATCAATGCAAGAAATTGTTGGTCAATAAAAATACTAATTGGTATTCTAAATTCTTTCTTTTGATAATATAATAACACAACTTTACTTGAAAGATAATTGTTGATATCTGGAGGAAGTTCATTTAAATAAATCCCAATAACACTTCTTGGGTGTAATTTTAAAATATCTTCAAAGTCATTTGGTTGTACCCAATTGAGTTTATAAAGAACCCTTAATTTACTACATACAAACTGTTCAAATAAATCATAATATGTTTTAAATTGTGAACCATCGCAATACACAACTAATGTTTGTAAAGACTCCATTGATCTAATAGGTAAGTTTTCAGTAAGACCATTTCTTCCTGCTCTAATTTCTAAACGACGTAAATTAGGTAAAGAAAGAAGATCAAATAAAGGTAAACAACTAACTTCCAGAATTAATCTAGAAACTCGGTCTTTAATTGTTTCCCAAATAGGATATGAAGAAGGGGTTTGTTTTTGAATATAACTAATTTCAAATAATTTTACATTAACTAATAACTCTGGTGGTAGTTGTTGTAAAGTATTAATATCTGTATGGAGAGTATCAATTCCAGTAAAAATTTGTAATTCTTTTCTTATATGAATTGATTGGTCATTTTGAAGGATTGTTTCTAAAGATAGTTCTTGATAACATGGATTAACCTTTAGTCGTGTTATTGCTTCGCCACAATTATGGCTAACTTGATGAAATCTCATTAACATATTCAATGAAATAAAGTGTGGAATAACAGACATGAGATAAACTGCTTCAATTTTTACTGGATGATTAATTTCAGACATTTCTTTTTAAATATTAATTTTCAGTTCTTATAAATATTAGTTTTTATTTTCTTTTTTGGGTTTAATAAATTTTGTTTTTTGATTTAAGATCAATTTTAAATTTTAAATCATTCAACAAATAAAGTCAAATTAATTTACAATTTTAAGAACAAATTCTCTTAAATGTTTAAATTCGGAAAGAAAATATTTTATTGCGTCGTTCCAATGGGATGTTGATGGGGATAATGATAACCCATTAGCAGTAAAATTACTAATTTTATAAAGTGGTTTATATTTATTAAATTGAATAGAAACAATAGTAATTAATTCTTCAACAACCAATGAAAGTTTTTGCAAAGAATAAGTGAAAGATTTAGTCCTTTTTATAGACTTTTGATTAAAATCTAAATAACTTAAATTTAATCTAGTCATTGAAAATTGAGAGTACGCTGTTATAATAGAACATTTTGTTAATTGAGTTCGTAACATTTGTCTAATAAGTAAACACTCTTTAATAATCAATGAAAAACAAATTGATACATTTTTATATTTTTTCTATTTAATTAAATTCTAAATAATTTATTTAGAAATAACATAACAAACATGTTGATAATCAGAAACAACATTAATAGAATTAAATAATATTCCATTTTCAGTCCATTCAATACGATGTATTTTATTCCATACATTTTCTTCATATTGTTTTGACTCTTCTTTTTCTTTTTGAATATCAATTCTGCTAAACCTATCACTTGAATTATTTGATATTCGAATTATTTCTGCTAATAACTGTGCGTGTTCTTTATATTTCTCTTTAAAAGAATCTTGTAATGAAACTATAAATTCTTTATCTTCTTTTAATTGTGTTTGTTCTTTTTCTAAACTTGAAATTGATTTTTCTAGTTCTTGCACTTTTAATTCTTCTTGTTTTATGTCTTCTTCTAAACCTTTTAATTCTTGTAAGTCATCAAACATTTTTAATATTTCACAATAACTGCATGTATAATTTGCTTCTTCTCTATCCATCTCATTACTTTTATTATGATAACAACTTTCGCACATAGGTAATTCAAATGGAAATTTTTCTTGTTGTGCAAAATATAACCATTGTAATGGAGAGTCTGTCTGTGTCATTGAAGAAGAAAGTTGTATTGGTTTTGTTTTTGGTTTATATACCATCCCTTTATTTATAAAAAAAGAATTCGACAGTGATTTCATTGGTTGATTCTCTATAAATGAAACTAACATATTATTTCTATATTCTTTTTGATTATTATCCTTTTTTATTATTCAACAAACATTGTTTTTTTGGTACTATTGACAGAAGTTCTAATGACCTTTCTATGATTGGACATCCACAATATTTACAAGTGACTTTCCCAATTGACATTTCGTTTTCAATTTTTTAGTTTTCCTTTTCTCTTTTTTTTTTCTTCATTTAGTTTTTTTCTTCCAACAATCCTTTCTTTATGTTTTATAAAACGTTTTGTCTCAAAAATGAAATAAACAAAGAACAAAGTCACTCATTTTTCTTAGTCATCAAAAAGAAGAAAATATCAACATAATCAAGTTATAGTGGAACTTAAATTAACTTAATGATAAAGGTATGTCTTTTAATTTGTTTCTTTTTCAGTAAATAAAATAAATATATCACCATATTCGCCTATTTCTCCTCCTTTTTTTGGTAGTCCTTTTCCATAAATTGTTATTACACTTTCTGAATCTCCTATTTTGACTTTATTTGGTTCTACTCGTTTATTAATCCATTCATCATCATTAATTCCTCTATGACTAATAATAAATCCATGTTGTTCATCATAATGATTGATTGGATATTTCAAAATTACATTTTCTTTATTACGAATAAAGTCATGACAAATAACTTCAAATAATATTTTCAAATCCCCTTGTTTCTTTCCAATTTCTTCATTGCCTTCTTTTTCAAAAATATATTCATCATCACTATCAACTCCTCTTTCTATTTTGATTGTTTTACTTATCATTTCATTATATTCTTTTGCTGTTAATTTATTAATTCGTTTTACTTGATATTTAATTGTTTTAATTAATCCATTTTTGACACTCTTTAATGTAATTTTAATCGTAATATTTATTGGTGGTGGTTTATTAAACATTCCTTTATTCTAAATTTCATTATTCTTTTGTATTACACTGAATTACTAACCTCCAAACTTCACAATATTTGTAATATCCAATTGGGTCAATTTCATAATTATCCATCACTACATTCCACTCTTCCATTCGCTCTTTTTTATTATCAATTTTTGCCTTTTTTAACTCTCCGTATAGTTCATTCATTTTATCAATAATTTGTTGTGGTTGAGTATGTTCATCTAGTTCAGTTAATTGATAAACATTCATTCCATAATATGTCATCTTTCCCTTCATTTTCGTCTTTTTAAGTTCATTTTTTGTTTTACATAAAATTGGTTTTTATAACACTTCATTCTTTATGTACTTAACAAAAAAGGAGTGCCAAAAGCAAATTATTTGTTCATATATAGAAGAAACAAAGAATTGTTAGGAACAAGGAGATACAATAGAAGATATGCTAAGAATTAAGGAAATATTGAGATGAAGTTATGAAAGAGGAATAGAAACAGAAGAAAGTTCAAAACAAAGAAATTAATGAATAGGTGTGAAAGAATAGAATAACCATGAAGAATAGAATAAGGCTAAATCCAATGAAGAATATTGACAAGCATAATTAGCAAATATTAAATGGCAATAATAAAAAATGAAAGATATAATGAACAAATGGATGGTAAAGAAAGAAGAAACAAAGCATACAATTCATATAAATTTTCAGAGTATGTAGTAAAGTGATCTTGAGAAATATTCGTTCTTATCTACAAGAGAAGAAAGAATGGAGAAAAATGACTGAGAAATGGAGAAGATAAAATATAAAGTTGAAAGAGAGAAGAAAAGAGATAATGAATTATATTAACAAATTATAGATATAATAAGATATTCTAAAATGAGTAAACAAATGGAAATAGAATTTCATTGAGAGAAAAGGAAAAAAGAAAAGACAGAAAACTACTTTCTTATGATGTTGAACAGTCAAAAAGAAATAAAAAATGAATGAAAAGAATGAAATAGTTTGTTAATGAGCATGGCATATTAATGAAATTAAATATAAAGAAGACACCAAAAGGAGGTAAAATGGCGTTGAAAGAAGTTATGAAATTAAAAGAATACAGAAACTATGAAGAATAAACATAAAAAAAGAAAGTGTGTTAAAAAGAAAAATGAAGAAGTTAAGAAGAAATATAACAGCACAGAAAAGAAATGTCAAGAAGAAAACAAGGAAATGAGGTTTAGAAAAAAAAACATAAGAAGATGAAATGATATATTGATTATGTGATGCAACAGGAACAACAAAGAAATTGATTGAAGAACCAACAAGTGGGAATGAAATAACAGAAGTTCAGTGAAGAAAAGCACAGAAACTTTAACTACTCAACAAAATTCAACAAACAATTATAGAAGAAACAGGATAATAAATGATAATGATGAAGATCAAATAAAAAAGGATATTGAACATAACAGAGAAAACATTAACAGACATGAATCTGAAGAAAGTTAGTATAGCAAAAGAGAATAACCATACTACTTAAGTTACTAAGTGCAAAATAGTTGAAAACCAAAGAAGAAGAAAAAGAATATAACTGAAAGAATGAGAGTTAGTAGAAGTGATATGAAGAAAAAGAGGTTGTTGTTATGGAAGAATAAAATATGAAATTAAAAAGAAAGTCAAGATGGAAAGAAATTGAAGAAATAAACATTAAATACTCGGATAAAATAAGAGAATAAATGAAGGATTGAGACTAAAGAATGAAGTAAGACTTAATACCAATTTGATTCAAGAATGTCTG